GCCTTCGTGGCGCGAACAACAAACACACAAACCGGCCTGTTTGTGACGCACAACTCACGTAAATATTTGCTGTGCATCATTAACGCCGACACACCTTTTGTTGTAGAAGAACCCTTTGTGTAAAAACCACACGGCGTCGCAGCTAAAGTCTGTTACTCACTCGCATAAATTGCGAATCTCACTCTATAGATTTACATAAAGGGGCCGTTAACACAGAGGCCATATGGCTGAACGTCTCAATGTCGACGCCTTATGAGCATGTGAAGACCTGAATTATTTACTGTACGTTCCAAAACCTGTGTACCTTTCATATGTAAGCACATTAGATGACATGTCAATAGTAGAGAGATGTGATGGCTTATATTGTTTCATCAAGACTTGGAGATGATATCTTATGATCAAGATAAGGTATTTAAAAATAAGAAGAAGGACAAACACATGATGATAATGACGATGTAACAATAACAACAGCAAACGTTTTTGCGTGAATGATCTGAATCGGCTTTTTTCTTCATGTGCGTCTACAAAGAAATGGATAAATAAAGTACAACAAAGTACAGCAACGGTAAGCATAAACATTTAACGTATACGTACACATAAAAATATAAATATACCCACAAAAGCATATATATGAATATGAAAACACAACACAAATGATAGTTGAATGGAAATAAAAGATGAATGATGCAGAGAGCAGGGATGCTAGAGTAAATATTGAAGGACTGTTACAGGATACTTTGATTTACCAGTTCATTACAGGGGTTTTTGTCAAAGCATTTTCATGATATAAGATAAGCCAAAACCTTATTAATCATGCACAGCTATTGTTTCATTTAAGATTATAACAGATAAATAGCAGGAAAAAAACAATACAATTAAAAAACAGAAATAAACGAAGAAAAGGATATAGATCATCAAGTGTAAATAGAGGATATTGACGCCATTAAACAAATAAATACAAAAGTATTAAGACAATTTAATTTATTTAATTAATCAAATAATTTCAAATAATGTAGAAAATGGGAAATCCAACGACAAATAAGTAATTCTAATACGAGTGACCGATGGAAACTAGATTCTAGAAACTGATATTAAGCTTCAGATCGTGGGAGATTTTATCAAAACAAAAAACAGACCCGATGAGATTCCATCCGGAACATAACTGACGCGTTAGCGGTTAGCTTGGAGATGTGTCGTCTACTCTTGTGTGTTTCCTTTTCGGTTTCACAGAAACACACGCTGGGTGTTTCCAGTCTTTGAGGACAAAAAGTTTTCAGGGGTTTGTTTTCTGTTTTAGTTTGAAAGTCCCCATTTCTTGTGTGTGTTTTTACTTCCTGTCCTTGTTTGTGATCTGCTTGGTCCTGTGAGTGTCACCTCTTGTTGGGAGGCGGCGGGTGGGGGGGCTATTTGAACCCTGCTGCGATGCTAGTCCACTAGCAGGTTGTGCTAATGGCTAAACCTGGTTAATCCCTGCATGGGAGCGATGCCCCGACTCGCCCCCCCCCCCCCCCCACACACCCCTGGCTTTTTGTGGAGGACACTACATTAATCTCAGCGGGGCGCCCATCCAATCTGTCCCACCCCCACCCTTCCCCCCCAAAAGGGCCCAACCCAGAAAAAAAAACCTCCCCCCTCCAAATGTCCTTTTCCCTTCACTTCCAAACATTTTTGCCATTTAAAATGTTAAATTCTTCACAGTGCTTTGTGAGCGCAGCACAGCGAATCCCTGCACCGGATCATGTTGTAGAGTTTGAGGTGTGGGTATCAATAGCTGCGTGTGCACGTTTGCGGGTTGGACGTTAGCATCGCGCTGGTTCCCTCGGAGAAAAGCTAATGGGATTCTTGTGAAACGTTTATGATTTTTTTCAAACGTGAATAGAAAAAGCCAGAAGCAAAAAGCTCAATGTTACAGCATAAACAAATAACGCCACACTCCCATTACGGCGAGACGGTGAATTTCAATTTTCCTCGTCTCATTTAGCCGCTTGGTGGCAATCATCTTTTTAAAGATGCGTAAAAGCATGAAATTCCAGAGTAGGGAAGCCGCTGACGTGGTTTGTATCATAGAAAAGCTTGTGTTAGCCAAAGAGATCTTATTTCACCATCTAACCAAATAAAAGCCATTAACCTGGTGACGTGGAAAGCAAAAAGTGCCCAAATGCTAACTCGCATGCGCGTTTCAGGACTCATTCCTGCGGCGCTTGATTTGGCAAAAAGTGAAAAGACTTTTTCCCTTTTGGACACTTTTGGACGGCAGTTCATTTCAACGGGATTTGCGCGATTCACACAACTCTTCGAGGGGGCCATTTGCAGACGCAGAGTGGGACCCCCGGAGACTATGGTAGCTCCATGGAGGCTCTAACGTGTCTCCACCTGTCTCTGCTCCACCTCTCCACCTGTCTCTGCTCCACCTGCACACTTGCATTCCTGTCTCAATCAGCCATGAAAACAACCTCGGACCCCCCACCCACCCAGCCCCCCTCCATCCATCCATCCATCCATCCATGGAGGCCTACTTTACATCTGTCCCCTGTCCTTCTTCCCCTTCTGGCTCTCGACCTACAAGCCCCCCCCCCCCCCCTCCCTTCCTAAAGACGCACACACACTGTGCCAGTTGTGTACTAATCAGGGGTTGACCTCTCAACCTGCCCCCCCCCCCCCCTCCCAACACACACACACACACATCTCTCTCTCTCTCTCTCTCTCTCCTCCTCAACATCCACCCACCTCTCTTGCCCCCCCCCCTCCCCGTACCAATCCCAGCACTGTGTTAATCTGGAGCTGGTCTGACGGTCAGCACTTTGAGCGGCAGACAGACAGATTGGCTTTAATCCCCTGAGTGCCACAGATGGAGCGCCACTACGCAGACCTCGGGGAAGGCGAACGCACAGAGTGGTACACACGCACACAGACACGCACACACACCGGAACACGCACACACACACACACACACACGGGCAGACAAATAGGAATAGATAACCATGCAGGTTCTGCCTTTAGATGTGAGAACACGTACGGTCCATTAGACGCCGAGCCGGTCGGGCATCACACCGCTAATGAGTCTCGTCGTCATAGTTACGCATGATGCTCCACAGATGTAAAAAAAAGCCGCTGAGCTGCATTTTTCTAATGAACAAAGCTAAAATGTATGGAAGAGAAACACAAACAGGGTTGTGTTGTAATCGTTAGCTTAGTGGAAAATATGAATGTTTTGATGCTCGGCTGCTGATGAGGAAACAAAGGCCCGTTTACGCTCTTCTTCATTCAGAGTCTTTTTAGAACAATTAAAGCCGGACACTGTAGGTCACATATTACATAGACCAGGCCTTTCTTCAAGTGTTCAAATTATTACAAGACAATATATGTAGCAGCCAGAATCAGTGATTCCAAGCCGAGGTGTTCATGTACTTTATGCTGAGATGTACAATAAAAATGTGTGAAGCTGATGTTTTTGTCTTTTAGCCGCGACAGTAAGCAATAAGCTACCAGCTACAAATCAGTAAAGGCACCGTCCAAACGCTGTCGTAACACCTCTTCATGTTCGGATGGAGAATCCACAAGAACTAGTTACCATTAAAGCACAGGAATTAACACAGAAAGATAAACGTGCTGGGCTTGAAATGTCCAACGTTTGCTGTCATTTTAAGTGGTAGTTCACAGATATAAACTTCACAAACCATCCTGGGAAAAATAGGATCAATATACAATTTCTGCATCACTATTTATCAAAAAATATATAATTAAATAATTGAATATCTGGATATCTAAAATCATTTGAACTATCAATCCGAGGCAACAAAAGACTGAGCTGTGATTCCTGAAATATACTGGGGCAGACAGCGCTGACCTTCACCCTGATGTTGTGATTGACAGTGGGCTTGTGTGTGTTCACATCTGTGTGCGTGTTCACATGTGTGTGTGTGTGTATGTGTGGAAACGCTGTTGCCTGAATGGTGCCCATTCAAAACAACAGGATTAAAAACTGGTGTTTGATTAGATGTTTGTTTGTGTGTTTCCTTGTAATGAGTATAGCGAAGGCCACGGTAACATGGGTAACTGTGTGTGTGTGTGTGTTTCATTGTAATGAATATGGCTGAAGGCTTCATCCACTTTAATCAAGGAAGTGGAAGGATGAAATGAAACACTGATGAGGGGAATGATGTTGAGCTGAAAAAGGATATTAATGGCAATGCAGGAGTCTCACCGCTGTGTGTGTGTGCTATCACTTGTGTGTGTTGTTTGTGTGTGTGTGTGTGTGTGTGTGTGTGTGTGTGTGTTTTTGTGAGAGAGAAAGTCACATAAAATGTTCCAAGGCTTTACTTGAGTAGAATTGCATCATCAGACAAAACATGTAATTATATGATTTTCTTTTAATTTAACAAGTAGTAATCATATTAGTAGGATAATCAATAATAAATAGAGGTGACTGCAGTAGGATGAACATTTCATAATTCTGTCTCAATTCAATCTGAGTTTAATATCAGCAGCACAAGCGTCCCAGCGTGAGCATGAAGGAGTTCATGTTAACAGACGCGTTGCTCTACTGCCATCTAGCGGTGAAACGGAGCTCAGCGCCACAAAGAACCAAGACATTGTTAAGAATTCATATCACAAAAGATAAAAGCAGTATTTCATCGCCATCTGTCTATTTGGGAAAAGTTGTGTAGATTTGCAGCATTTCTTTGTAGTGACCTAAAATAAAATCCATGTCCATGGTTTTTGCCATCGTAGTTCCATTTAAAATGATTTTACACAGAAGTAGATCGTCGGCAAACTTGAAGCTTTATTTTGTTTTGAACTGTTTGAGGACTTGAGTTATTATTCTGCACCAAAACAGACAAGGAGGCGGCCTATTAATTTATTAACAATCAGTACTATCATTTTCTATTCACGGTATATATAGTTATATAGTCATAGTTTCATGCTTGTAATGCATTACTTTATATTATATATTAACATAATAATAAAAGTGGGTGTGATGAAAAAGATAAAAGCAAAAGTGTGTGTAACATCCATTTATTACCACCTTATATGACAAATCTGGAAAATACAAACATTGTTTAATTGAAACATCATCCTCAACATTTCAAAAAGAAAATCAAATTGAGTAAAAAAAAATTAAATTAAGTTAAAAGGGCGACAAGACGACCTGAGAAACGGCATACAAACGATCGACTGATCCGGAGAAATAAAATAGAAGCACAGGGGGACGTACACAGAAAACACCTGTATTATTTGTATCATGTAACAATGATTTAAAATACATGTTCACATTTTAATCAGCTAGTTTGCTTAAACAATACAATTAATTTGCCCACTTTGAGAGCCTTTTGGTTTTGAAGAAAATTACAAACCTGTTACCTGTTTTTTTTTTTTTTTTTTTTTAAATGAGCCACTACTAGAAAAATATCTCTGACACCGTACTTGAGCTCTCATGCTTCAGCTTTAAATAATGAGATAACATTTTGAACACCACAAAAACAGGTGGTTAAACTCTCCTGTGAATTAGGAAAAGAGCATCAAGAAGAAGATCAAACTTTGGTGCCAAAATAAGTCAATAGCTTCACAAATCTGTTTTTGTGTTTATGTACTCAGTCAGTGTTTTAATCTGATTAATCCCCCCGTCTCCTCGTCATATAGTTTGAAGTGAAGAAAAAATTAAAACGTCCGCCAGACTTATTTGAAAAAAAATAACCCTAACCTGATGAATGACAGTGATGATCAGTATGGTCTTCATAAATCAAGTTCTCCAAAGATGCTGATGGATGGTGTACATTATGCGATCAGAACCAAACCTCATGCAGACGCACACGGGGACAGAAAATACAGCATCGGCCGTCTGTAAAAGACACCAACACCATTTCTGAGCAAGGATCGAGAGCAGGAGGAGACGACCAGGTAAGTTCTTCTAGCACCCTGCTGCAGAAAGGAGACCAAAGTCTCCCAGCAGACTCATACCCGCCCTCTCCTCCTACCTGTCCCTCCCCAATTTGCATTACTCTAGTCTATGTGTGTTCCCTGTTCTATCCAGAAGTCATCCTCTCCTCCTCAGAGTCTGAGTAGAGTCAGTACAAACCAGGAGGCGTGTGCTTAAGGAGATCCCATCACCAAAGAGTCGGTACATGCACGAAAAAGAGAGTACCCTAGAAGTCTGCTGCCGAGAGCACTAAGAAAAACCACGACTATACACGTTATCCATAATATAATCAGTCTTCTTCTACACACTACTATCACAGGGAGGAGGGGGGGGGAGGGGGAGCGGGTGAGGTGCTCAGGGGCGGAGAGACAGATGGGTGAAGGAAGGGCGGGAAGGTGTGGAAACGGGGGGAAGACTGAGGAGAAGAGGGTTTAAGCACGCTCCCCGCGGATGCGACGGGCCAGCTGGATGTCTTTGGGCATGATGGTGACACGCTTGGCGTGGATGGCGCACAAGTTGGTGTCCTCAAACAGACCCACCAGGTAGGCCTCGCTGGCCTCCTGCAGATGACAAGAGTCAAAACATAGATTATTTGTGGTTGGAATGATTAGAACATGTGATCGGTTAGTCATTTTTTATCCACGCTGAGCGGTACTGACCTGCAGAGCCCCGATGGCTGCGCTCTGGAAACGCAGATCGGTCTTGAAGTCCTGGGCGATTTCCCTCACCAGGCGCTGGAAGGGCAGCTTGCGGATCAGCAGCTCGGTGGACTTCTGGTAACGACGGATCTCACGCAGAGCCACGGTACCGGGCCTTAGCAAGACAAAAAACAATTAGAACATGTGGAAAGCGCAACCTGGTTGTCGGTTGCTTCTCAAATAATCTGCATTTGGGTCCATCCACACACAGCAGGACACAGAAACATGTTCTGCGTCCTATTTTATATGATTTTATCCTGATAATTTTAAGGTTTTGTCTCACCTGTAGCGATGGGGCTTCTTGACACCCCCAGTGGAAGGGGCGCTCTTGCGGGCAGCCTTCGTGGCCAGCTGCTTACGTGGGGCTTTGCCTCCAGTGGACTTACGGGCGGTTTGCTTGGTACGAGCCATGATTACTAAAAATCACCTGGAAAAAAAGTGGAAAGAAAGAAAATAAATGGAGTTGGATTAACCTTTAAATCTACTTTAGATTTCTTATACTTTCTCCTATACTTGTATCACTGGGATTATTAACGGTTTAAAGTAAACATATATACATTTAAACATTATGTTGTACAGTTTCAAAAAAGGAACTGGCAACTTGAATTAAGTTAACTTTTTCGGGAAGTAAACACACATGACAATCCCTATCGCTGTCGGTCTGACAAGCGTCAGTCAAAGACGAGAAGCGGTTCTATTGGCTGTGAGGCCAGGGCGTATAAAAGAACATAACGTTTGGCCCAATCAGCGTCTCGAGTGGCCAGAGGCGGGACCTACAGCTGCCTTCCACTGTTTATAGCTCCGCCCACCCAGCTCTGATGATGGCGGCGGTTTGATGCGCAAACGGGATAAAGACCCAGGGCAGAAGAGCAAAGGAGTAGCGCGTTAACAACTTCGATTTGACAAATAACCGCAGTTCCAACGTATCCGAAAATACGAGAGCGACACACAAGACATGTCAAGGAACTCATAGATAGCCTTAGGAAAGCCGAACTGTGCCTAACGGCTGCGTAGAATCGAGCTGAACCGGCGCATAATTTGAAACCCAATTCCCCCTCATCTCAACGGCTGCAGAGAAGACCGCATTTCGCCGTCCTTTCGACAGCCGTGTTTGTTTGTTTGCCACACGACAAAATTGGGACTTTTTCACACTTAAATGCGTTTGAAAAATCAAAGAAAACACAACTTAAAATTTCAAAGTCCATTCGCAAGCCCCGTGGCGTATTTCGAGCGGCTTACCTGGGAGGAAAAGTGAGTAGAAGTCGTGAGAAATGTTTCGCTTGTGTCTATTTTCTTCCTCGTATCCACAATGGGAAGCAGCGTCCAGCGGGAAAATGGCCGCCGCGTCAGTCGTTTGTCCCACAATGCAACAGCGTCCAAAACAATAATATCAGTGGTCACTCTTAGCAGTTTCATATGCGATTATCGTAGTTAGTTTCTTTTTATTTATATTTAATAAAAAGTCAGTTTAATTTTGTGGGATCGCTAGAAATAGAAGAACAGGTGTGCTGCCGTTTTCTTTTTTACCCTTTTCTACTTTCAGCGGTGTGACCGTTCACCTTCAGACCGAAAGTTTGACGCTTCGGTTTAAAACGTTCGTCCTTTTGTCGTTAAAGGCAATTGTAAAGCGATAGAATAATTGAAGTTAAAAAATTAAAAAATCTACATAATGAAATAACACGGAAGTGATGTTTTAATGTGTTTATGTGTACTGCAATATTTTCTATATCTTTTACACCTGCATTTTCATGATTAATTCTGTCTAGAGTTGTTAAGCAACAATTAAATACGGTATCCGTAAAAATACCCCCAGACTCATTTACAATGAAATACTCATTATAAATGTAAATGTTTTAAATCTATGCACAAGAATGTATTGGTGCTGCAAAAAATATATTTTTGGAAAAGTTGCTTTTTGTTTATAATTATTACAGATATGAATATATTTTTAATTCAAACATACGGCTTATTTAACCACAAGAATTTGTTTATTATGTTTGTGAATTTTGAGTACAAATAGTTTGCTTTTTAAAAATGACCGAAAACATAAATCAAAAACACAGTAGAAAAAATAGGTTATCATATCAACCTGAGAGAGGAACAAAAAGTCAAAACACTACCCGGACATAACGTGGCTGAAAATCTAAATATGATCACCGTAGGTCTGCTACATATACGCCGTTGATTCTGGCAAAAATGCAGTGTCATTACAACACAATGACGTTTCTGATTGACAACCAGAATAAAACTTTTGTATTTCCATACATTTAACACTAACAGTAGAAATACACCATTATTGTAAAAAAATGGGAAAAGAATTTACTACTTTTACAACAAATCTTTTAAAAATAAAATTCCATTTAATGTCCATCTAAAGATGACAATGTCATAATGAAATTTCCTATGTCAAATCACACACTATTCTTGGCTTGTAAAAACACCGTATGCATGGAGATAACAAGTATACCTGTGAGCTAGCTAGTTAGGAGTGTAACTGATTCAAAAGTTCAAACATACAAGAAGATATCTCAAAGGGAACTGCTACTAGTAGCACCAAAGAAGACATGATCACACATTTTACGGTTATTACAATCATACGAGATATATATATATATATATCTATATATAGATAGATCTATATATAGGACCTCAAACCAAACGACTATAGAGGGAGGACGGGGATGTAAAGAGTGGTGACGGGACGAAAGGAGAGCATTTTAAGCGCGCTCCCCGCGGATGCGGCGGGCCAGCTGGATGTCTTTGGGCATGATGGTGACACGCTTGGCGTGGATGGCGCACAAGTTGGTGTCCTCAAACAGACCCACCAGGTAGGCCTCGCTGGCCTCCTGCAGATGACAAGAGTCAAAACATAGATTATTTGTGGTTGGAATGATTAGAACATGTGATCGGTTAGTCATTTTTTATCCACGCTGAGCGGTACTGACCTGCAGAGCCCCGATGGCTGCGCTCTGGAAACGCAGATCGGTCTTGAAGTCCTGCGCGATTTCCCTCACCAGGCGCTGGAAGGGCAGCTTGCGGATCAGCAGCTCGGTGGACTTCTGGTAACGACGGATCTCACGCAGAGCCACGGTACCGGGCCTGGAGAACGACAGAAGAATTGTACACATGTAGAATTTAAGACGGGAGCAGCGTGATTGATTTCCTTTGGCACATGACATTACCCTCTTGGATTTCAACATATCAAGCTCGACTGTCATTTTCTACTATTCTGAGAGAAATCACAGAATAGAACTTCAACTCCGCTCAGGGGTTTTCCACAGAGTCCTGCATATAAAAGTACAAATACACTAGATGCATAAACTCCTATGTTTTTTGACAAAGTTTGTTCCATGAGTAAAATTTAAAAAAAGTACAAATATGTCCCTGCAGGAGAACTACAAACTCAGTTGTTTTACTATATATCGACAATTAGAAAAAAAGGAGGAATACAACTGTAGCGTTCCCTTTTGTTGTTTATCTTTCCATCACAAACCAAATAACTCCATGAGCCCTCACCTGTAGCGATGGGGCTTCTTGACACCCCCAGTGGAAGGGGCGCTCTTGCGGGCAGCCTTCGTGGCCAGCTGCTTACGTGGGGCTTTGCCTCCAGTGGACTTACGGGCGGTCTGCTTAGTACGGGCCATGACTACTCACCTGGAAGACAAAAGTTTGCTTTGGTGAGGCCACAACAAGGCAGTTTTATATACATGTGAATGAGATGAGCTCAATGGGTCAAGAAGTGAAGGGTAAAAATGTACTTTTTGATTTCCAATGTCATGGAACTATATATCAACATGGCGAAATTCTAGTTTTCAGTTAGCGTGGTTTGTAAGAGAACAGTCAGAGTCATGAGGCTCGGTCGTTGTTTTTTCGAATCAAAACCACGTTATGTAACGACTGTGTTTAAAAGGACGGCGAAAGCGTCGAATCATAGAAGAGCTCTTTATCACCTAAACCAATCACACTCTGTAAAACGAGCCCGAAAGGCGGGATGGTACAAACCGTCCGACCAATTACAGCACGATTACGGCCCGTCAAACCCCGCCCTTTGCGCAACGAACGTGGGTTTGTTCGTTTCTATGCAGCGTGCTCCCCGGTTGGCCGAGAGGCTTGATTTTTTATCCAGAATGAGCTATTTCGAAGGAAAACCAGGCGAGCCCGCCCACACTGGCTGCCCAGTGTCGGCAAACGAGCACACCCACAGATGATGGCTGGCTGCTGGCGAGAAGAATGCAAAGGGGAAGGAAAAAATCGTTGTAGCAAACGAAGACGGCGACGATATAAACGACGGAAGAGTACAAAATCCACGGTGTAAAAGTGGAATATACTTTTCGAAGATGACACTAGACATGTCAGGGAATCAATTGGTGGACAATATTTTGTCAGATGACCCTTCACTTTAGGCGCATTTCCGCGTCGAATTTGACCAGATCACAAGTGCTTTTTAGGTCCCCGAGCAGGAAGATAACAGCTCGACTGCCCTGCGTTTTATTCTTTACCAAAAATAAACGAAAAACACATCCATCCGACAACTATCGCAACGTTAAATGATAGATTGGAGTTTTAGTGAAAAGGTGACACTTACCTTTGGAAACTTAGTGACAGATTGCGGCTGAAAAAATGGGAACGTATTCTTGAGTCTCTAAAGCGTTGTTCTCGCTATTAAACGAAGGGACGAAAAAAAAGGAAAATGAACATAGGAGAGCAACAGGAGACACGTTTCCCATGATGCACTTGGAAGGAACATATAACATACATGCTGCAACATTGCAAACAATTCCACAACTAAGCTCACTCACAATTTAATGTTATTTTCAGTTTCAAATGAATCAATCATGATTATTGATATTTTGTTCCCTTCACATTATCAAAATAAGTTTTTTAAAAAGTATTCTATGTAGGAAAAATAAATTAACCAGATCACATTCATGCCTGAGGGAGAATAAAAAGTGAGTAATATTTCACGTTTTAGACTTGCTCATTATTCATGTCCATCATTTTAATTCTATACATTATATAATATATATATATATACACACTTATCATTTTTAAACAACACACCAGTCATATTTGTACTGAGCTGTCGGGAAATTAAAGTAAATAACCTTTCTTTGCTGCAAATACAGATTTGATCATAGCCACATAAAATGAAAATATAGTCATGAAAATAACTCAAGTTTTACTATAACGTTAATTTACATGGATATGCCGCATTTACACTGTCTGTCCTGTAGGTGGCGCTTCCAACGTCTCTCCACAGCTGTTAACACCAAAGAAGAAGAGGTTGTTTCTTCTTTCTTGTCCTCCAACATGGCGCCGTCCAGGAGGCTGAGACGCGTGGCGGCCTCACAGCCAGGTTTTCTCAACCTAAAGACAGATTCCGGTGGCGCGGCTTTGGCTGGCGGTCGGAGAAAACGTCTGAACAAGAACAAGAAAAAGAGCTGGAACAAACACAGCGACATAAACGACGTAGACGCGTTTTTGGAAGACGTCAGACTCCAGGAAAGGACCACGGGGTGAGTTGAGCTAACGTTAGCCGCTGCGTCGGAATACTGACAGTGTGGGCTCTTTTAGTAAAGCTTTAAACACGTCGACCGAAAGTTTTCTAACATTTTTATTTTGGTGGTTTACCCTGGTTTTCTAGTGTTGTTCGTCGTGTCAACGACTCACGTCTCTCTCACACACACACACGCACACGTCGCCTTTATTTGGAGACTTTGGCCCGTCCTGATCTAATGGCGTCTTTTTGTCGTGCAAGCAATACGCACTGATTGAGGCATGGTCTCAAAATGAGGTGACCAGGCCAAAGACAGTATGTATTAAATAATAAATAAACTAAAAATAGTAAGGGTTAGCCACTGCACTGGTGGCTGTTATGCTGTTTCACACGTGTTTTGTTGCCTTTCAATGAAAAACACAGTAGCGCCGAGTGTGAAAAGCGGCCGGAGGCAGGATCCTTTTTTTCAGCCCGACACAAGTGGATCTCAGTTGGTTTGTAGCGACTCCTGCAAATTCAAAGTAAATGAGTATTTCCACGACCATGGTTCTGTCGTAAATGTTTTTTCTAACTTTATTGATAATTGAGCGGCTCTCCCGTTATAATGGTGGGGAAACGGTACTGGCTGCGGTCGGTTATCAAACAGTTGGCCAAACGACCCGTTTCAGGCTTCATAAGCAACTACAGAATCCCTTTGTCTTAATTTGTAAAGCCTCGCATTAAGACCTACATCACTTTATTTAAGACGCTGCGCTACTTGCAAGTCGCTGTGTTGTGCCTGATTCTCAATGAAGTTAGAAAAGACATTTACGGCAAAACCATGGTCGTGCAAATAGATCCTCATTTACATGGTATTTGCACGAGGAGGAGGAAGCGGGTTCACGTCACATGGCTACATAACCACTGAGATCTTCTTGTGCCGTTCAGGAAAAGGATTCTACCACTTTTCACTCTCGGCGTCACTCGAACAACATCTGCTGGTTCCGGATCCCAAATAGGATCAAATTGAAAGGTCACAATATGACACCATTTTTGTATTCCAGCGGCCTGCTGTCTGAGAAGTCCGATGAGAGTTTATTCTTCCTGGATGCTGGACCACCAAAGGACCAAAGGGGTAAATACACAATTGCAGGGAAAAAACATTTCCACAGTCCCTCATTTAGTCACGTTTCCAGAGTCGCAGCTGACCAGTCTGATGGTAGTTTGTCGTGTTTTTTATAATCATGAATTCAAGTGTTTATTCTGTATTTCTCAAGTTTCACAACCCGCCGAGGAGCAGAAGAGGAGTAAAGGGAAGGCATGGCGACCTCTGAGGATAGACCTGATCCTGCAGCGAGACTCCCTCGTTCCAATACCGAAAGAGTAAGTATCTACCACAACGCCTCTGTGCTTTATCCAACTTCAGATCTGAAAGCTGATGTTTCTCAAAGACAATCTAAAAAAAAAAAAAGCCATGCATTTGTTTTTAACGTGGAGGACTCTGTCCCGTGATGATCTCATCCTTGCGCTCCCAGTATTTCCTTCTTGGGAATGTGAAGTCAACACAAAAGGAGCTCAGGAAACTGTTGTGTAAACGGTGTCCTGGGATCTGAGGATACAAAAACCCACAACACAAATTATGTGGGGCCGAATCGAAGGACCCCGGTCTCGCCGCTCCTCGCCATCGTGTCTCCTGTGTCATCATCTCCTCATGTCCTCTCCCTCCTTCCTTAGCGTGTTGGCCTATCAGAAGCCAAATGCCAAGAAGCTCCGTCGCATTGCCGAGAAGGCCGCGCAGCTGTCAGCCAAAGGCGTGGTGACGCGGAGGCAGAAGCGGTTGTTGAACAGACCGCCGGTCAAGGAGAGGACCAAGAAGGCAGTGACGGAGGCCAACAACAACCCCAACAGAGACTACTACGACATGTGGAGAGAAGAGCGTGAGTGCTGTGTGTGTGTGTGTGCGAGCTTAGTGCTTGTGTGTCCAGTGATGATCACATCCTTGCGCTCCCAGTATTTCCTTTATGGGAATGTGAAGACTAACATGGAGCTCCGGTGGCCGTTGTGTAAATGGCCATCTGGGATCTGAGGACTCACACAAAGTAAAGACTTTATTTCAAGACGTAATGCTCTAAAGCCTAGTTTATGCGTCTGCGTTTTCAGAGAGACGCAAGAGCCCCTTGCGTGTCTTTCCCACCTGCTTGTGTGCGTCGACCCATTTTTCTAGACTAGCGACGCAAGCCTCCCGCAGCGCACAAGGCTGCGATTGGTCTGCTAACTACGTCCTTTACGGAGTCTCACATTTCCGTTTTCATAGCCTGATACCGCCATTATTAAAACGAAGAATGTTTACGAGAGAACGGATCAGATTGAAGAGCTTTTGTCGGAAGAAATACGTAAATATGAGCACTTCTACAAGCCGTCATTGGCGGATGGCCTCTGATTCACGGAGGGAGATCACCACAAACGTCTGTTTGCCGGTCGAGGGGAACAACGTTGTGGAGGAAAATACAGGACAAATGTGTCCGCCATGAAAAGCAGCAGTGTCGATGCACGAGGCAATAAAGTCTATGATAAACAAATAAATAGACGTGACTCTCTAGGTCGTCTTCAGCAAAACACGTTACTCCACCTGTTCTGGAGGTGAATTGCTCTGCAACACGCACAAGACTTTTAGAACCATGAATTGAAACGCGTGCGTCGACACGACGGTGCGTAAAGGCGCAGGCGCAGAAACATGCGGCAGCCTTAAGGAGGGATGCAGATTTATCAATAAAACATTAGGTATTAGTCTGCTTTGCGTTCGAGTACTGATGATCTGTCTTTAATGTGCGTAAATGTTGATATTAAAATGTATATATCTTTATTTCAGCCAAAGATACATCTGACCCCTGGTTCCTTCAACAAACGGGAAAGAAGCGAGTCCCTGTGAGAACAAATTTGTTTTTCGTAACTTGAATGTTTTTTTTTTTTTACTACAATGAATGAATGACTGATGGAATAACTTCCGTCCTGTTTTGTCAGCGTCCGGAGCGGATGAATGAGAAGCCATCGGTGCTTCCCGCGGTGGAGGTGATTGCTGCTGGAGGATCCTACAACCCAGAGTTCTTCTCCCATCAGGTACGTCGCGCCGTCAAACGGGGCCGGCGTCTGTTTTATAGAACAAAGGACTGTTACTTGTTAACCAGTGTTGTTAATTATGAGTTGAGTGCACATTTATTTGTGCCATTAAAACCACCCAAAACACCTATGTTGTGACCTCCTTCCCTCTCTATGAACACAGGCCTTGCTGCAGGAGGCCCACAACGTGGAGCTGAAGAGACAGAAGGAAGAAGACCGGATCGCCAAGCAGCTGGCTGTCAACAAAGAACACTTTGCAACAGAGGTGTGAACGATCAGCTCCTCCGTCATCCTCGGTGTACACTGCACACAGTTTGGATCTGTGTTTCGCTGACGTGTGTTTTTGTTCCTTCGGGCAGGAGACTGTCATGAAAGAGCAGGTGGAGGGCCTTGTGGAGGAGGAGGCGGAGGAGGGGGAGGAGGAGGCTGCTAGCGAGGAGGACGTGGCCGTCGGAGCCATCGTGATGGCAGAGAAAAAGACTGAGAGACAGAGGAGGAAGGAGAGGGTGGAAAAACTTAAGGTACTGCAACGATTTCAACTTTCACTTCACGAATGTCTTGTTTTAGAGGTTTCTACCATATTGGAAACATAATATTGGATTAACAGACACTGCTGGCTGACTGAAGCAAAAAATTGTATCCGGTCAATTCGTATTCTAGAAGAGAAGCTGTGAAACGATTAGTTGGATTTCTTCAGACGTTTTCTAATTATTTAGTGGTTTGAATGAACGAGGTCCAACCTGTGCTGGTTCTAGCATCTCAAATGTGATGTGAACCATTCAACACACACACAACCATAATATTTAGTATTGTGTCCAGAGGGTCTGGTTTCAAGATGCATAGTTCTAAGAAGTTTGCTGTGTACTGCATGCAGCAGTTTGTACTGTTTAAGGGTAGAATGTGGTTTAGAAAGGAGTCAATGTTGCAACTTGTGGAAGTTTCACACAACAGCTTCCTCTTAAAGAGTTGCCATGTTACCGTTGCTGCACACGTCATCTCACCGCCGTTGGTTCTTCTTTGCATCCCAGGTTCAACGGCGACAAGCCAACAGAGCAAAGTCTGACAAGCGGCAGCAGCTCTTCCAGCTCAACTCCATTAAGAAAACCATCAAAGAGCGGGAGACAAACACCAAGGTCAAGCAGGAGCAACGCAAGAGCAACCAGGAGGCCGAGAAAGCTCAGCCCAGACGCCTCGGCAAACTCAAGTACGCACCCAGCACTCTACTTTTATCCCGCTCCGTTTGTTAAAGTCTAATCGACCCCCTTCTGGCTCCAAATGAACCGACTGCAGGTGTGAAATTCTTCATCACCACTAGAGGTCCTCGTATGAGGTTTAACTTTACTTACCTGTCTTTGCTCTAATGTGAACCTAAAAGCACCTTGGACCAACCTTTGTTTAGATCTATGTAAATTTGAGGTAAATTATAAAACAAAGTACGTCACAGCAACATTTGTGTTGTGTGTGGTTTCCAGACCTGTAGTAACCTTTGTGTATCACACCAATCACAAATTATGTTTTAAAATTGACTTGATGTTGAACCATCTTGTCCAGATGCGTTTCTGCTACAGTTTGTGGTTATAGTGTTTGCCTGATTTTAAAATGTCACGTTTTGCTGTTTCAGCAACCCAAATGTATATTCTGCTGTATATGTATATTCTGACACCATGCGGTTGCTTGTGCAGGTTCCAGCCTCAGGACATGGAGGTCCAGTTGAGCAACGAGCTGGCCGGCTCTCTGCGACGACTCAAGGTACCTCACTTGTGGGATTTTTTTTGTTTTGTTTTTTTTGTGTGTTTTCCCACTCATCCGCTGTGGCCTCTGCCAGTGAGCGCACACAGTCTTTATCTGTAATGAGTTTTGGTTCATTCTAAGCTTTATCCTGCTCTGTAATACGGCAGCGACCCCACTTTCTCCACACAGGGGTCATTACACTTTCATGGGAAAATCGTTCCTATCCTCCTGCCATTATGCGTCTGAATAATACTTTATCAGCCCTTTTCGGCACGAATGGGATTAAAACATATGTATAATTTGTTGGGGATCAAATCGCGGCCAGTGGTCTCACATGGATTTGTCTCCCCTCTCGTGTCGCCGTGACTGCAGCCAGAGGGCAGCGTCCTCAAGGACCGCTTCAAGAGTCTGCAGAAGAGGAACCTGATCGAACCCAGAGAGCGAGCCAAGTAAGGAGCTCCGCCCCGCGCTTACATAACGCCTCCTCGCAGGCGCTCCCTCGTGGACCGATTCACACGGACGGGCTTGATTGATTGCTTTTATTTTATATTTATATAAATGTGCTTTTCCCCCTCTCCACAGGTTCAAGAGGGTTCTCAAGGTGAAGTATGTGGAGAAGAGGGCTTTCAGAGAGATCACTTAATGCAGACCCCCAGGAGCCGAACACAAGAAGCCGGGCAGCATTTTAAGGACACAAACGCTTCATAATGAAACCGTGTATATACAACCTCATACGACTGTTAATGAATATGTCACACCAGTGAGATAAAGTGAAATGAAAAGGACCTGTTTCCACTTCTGGTGCACGTTTGATATTTCTGTGTGTGTTATGTAATGTAAAGGGGGTTTTTTATTTCACAGCTGGGTCTGCAGAGGCCAAATGTCAGTGTGTCAGAACTCTGCTCATACATGAGTAAGACCATCGGCTTAATAACCCGGTCAGACGCATGAAATGTTCTGCTGCAGGGAGGTTGCTCAGGGTTGTGTCTCCTATGGGATGTTCCTCCATTCTATGAGTATTAGTTTCTTTCTGCAGTCAATTATCAGAACTTTTGGATACTGACCAATCGGTATCAGAAAAGGCCAAACTATTTGCATGTGAACGGGAGACCAACCGGAAGGAAACATGAGCAGCAGCAAGAACAATTACATTTGTGCATTAGTGGATTAAGTACAAGCTTAATCTACACACTGAGATCGTGGTACAACCTGCGTTTGTTGAGAGTTTCAGAGTTTTTATTTTTTCTCTGTATTTAAGCTGTTTCCGTTCTGCTTAAGATGTCATGACCCCCCCGGCCCCACCCTCTCCAGATTAAAACGTATTAACCAGTGATTAAAGTCAGAACAGGCAACAAAAAATGCTCATTTATAAACTATAATTAGATTATTTAATTGAATTTTTTTTTCATTATCTCACATGTAATAGAGAGAGACTGACATATTCCCACGAGCAAGTCGGCGTGTGATAATTGATTCGAACCGGCTGGTTTGAATCCATAATTGCCTCCAGTGTCGTGCTGGTATGAACAACGACATGCGTGCGTGTGTGTGTGTCTATACACACACACACACACAATATCTCACACCCCTATGGTGCCTGGAGCTACGCCAAAGCGTCTTATCCTTTAATCAGCATGAAAATAATCTTTTACCTGCACCCCCCCACTCCCCCCTCGTCTCGATCAGCCCCCCACAGACCTCTTATCAAAGCGAAAAACATGTGGAGAAACGGTTCCCGCCTCCCGGTTGTTGAGCAGCTTATCGATGATGTCATGCCGACTTCCTGCTGAGGGGTTAACCTGAAGACTCGTGAAGCCAGTTGTGTTTCTGCTCAGAGGCCCTTTGACACAGCGGTCGGTGGGGGGGCGCCGCCAATCCTTCATTCACTGATGGAGGCGCTATAGATGAAGAGTCAACGCATCACATGCTGTGTTGGTTTATCCTCTGGGGAACATGAATGTCTGGAGCGCTAAATGGCTCTCAGACCGCTGAGAACATTCAGGAATAACACAGACGTGATACATTTTTGTCTCCTGAAAGTCACCCCGTGAGGATGTTGTGCGTTTCTTGTACGCGCTCGCCAGATGCAGGCGGTTTGTTTTTTCCTTCTTTCTCTTCTCGTGTGAGACGCCCTGCTGCCAGATTGTCTTGGCATGGGCTATGGGACGGATTATGTGTGTGTGTGCGGTCGCTCCTTACGTCCTTAAGAATAGATTACTATTCCTCCATTCGGAGGATCCGGGAGTGACGGATGAAGCCACTGAAACACTGGACTGCACTTGGGAGGAGAGGCTGCTGCAAATCGACCCAAAATGCAACATAAACACATGAAATATCTTTTTTTTTTTTTAAACTGGCACGCATTTTCCGTCAAAAATATCTAATTCACTCTCCTTTAAGCATTGCATTCCCATCGACCTCCCACCACGTGACCAGCGAGGGTCAAGCGCTGAGCCGTGAAACCAAGAGAAGAACTTCTCCTGTAATAAAATATTGTGTGCTGATCAGTTTTTAATGAAATTCGCAACCTGAATATTATTTTCTTCCCTGCAGAAATATAATGAAAGTAACCTGTAGCCTAAACGCTACAAGTTGAAGGAGACCCTTCCTCCAAAGCTGCTCCCCCACAATCATCATCGTGTGAAAGAACGTGGCTTTATAATCACAGCTGTTCGATCAGGTAGACAGACCATCAATCACTCGATTGATCGATGTCAGGGTGTAAAAAGTATTTCAACAAATATCACAATGTTATTCAGAAATCTAATTAGTACTATAAATAGATGTCCTCAAGTGGACCAACCTCAGACCAAGAGCATCCAACCAACCCATCGAGCAAATGACTTCATAACTGCCACTAATTGTATTTCCCCCTCACACACACACACACACACACACAGAGCCTTTGCATGGCGCAGTCTGGATGTGCGTGCAGACTCTCCTCGTGTTTGATGCAGTTGGACAGGAAGATGATAAACACACAGATGGAAGACAAAAATCCTGAGTATTGTGTGCCGAGTGGAAAAAGGTTTTGTGTGGAGCAGCGAGCGAGGAGGAGGAGGAGGAAGCGGGAATAAACACAGTGATGGAGAGAGAGAGCGAGAGAGGGGAGGAGCACAGAGATGATTTCTCTCTCTAATCCTCTAGACACACGCTCGGTCTGGCTGACTACTGGCTCAGAGGGAGAGAGGGAGAAGGAGAAGGGAGGGAGGGAGAGAGAGAGAGAGAGGACGAGTCTCGTACGGCAGAGGGAAGGAGACGGAGGAGGAGGTGGTGGAGGAGGAGGAAGAAGAGGAGGAAGACTACGATGCTTCAGCCCAGCGCTGCCTGAACCAAACCAAGAGAGAAGCAACAGAAAGGAGGAGAAGGAGAGAAGAAGCAAAAGGTCCGAGGGAGCACAGAGGGAGGAGGAGGATGGAGGAGCGGAGGACGAGCAGAGACACGGATCCCCGGTCGCTCAGGCTCACATGAGTGGATGGACCTGAGCCCTCGGTTACCAGGACGAGATGCCTTCAGAGAAGCCAGAGTGTGAGGGTGGAGCGGTGGGTGGTGGAGCTCAGTAGATGGGTCTCTGAGCGCGCGAGAACATATGACGGACCGCCTGTTTTAGCAGGTGAACCGGGTCAGGTGCACCCATAGGAGGGGGAGGGGGTCGCGGGGGGTGGTGGGGGGCCGGGGGGGGGCGGACGGATGGAGAGTTGCGGGTTCTACACCCACGAGAGACTGCGGGCGTGCAGTTAGCCCATAGACGAGCCTCCTCCTTCTCTCCCTACTTCATCTCGTCCCAAACAAGTGGATTTCCGAGACTCGCGAAGTGGGACTTTATTTAGACCGGTGCCGCCGACTGACTAGGACCCCCCCCCCCCCCCCCCTCCACCCTCCACACACACTTCCTGATTTCCTGTGCCCGGTGGATGCCTCCGAACTCCAGCCATGGGAGAATGGACCATCCTGGAGCGCCTCCTGGAGGCCGCCGTGCAGCAGCACTCGACTATGATCGGAAGGTGAGTTCTCGGCGGGGTGCGAGGGTGTGTGCATTCGTTCCTCGTGTTTCCGGAAGTGTGCATGCACGCATGCACGCGCGCATCTTGAACCCGAAGAATGCCGATGACCTAAAACAAAGAGCCAGTCACGATCGCAGGGTTCAAGGCTGTTAGGATCCGTGCACCATCCTGACATGTCGAGATGTTGTATTATTGATGAGTGTTTTTAACCACAGCAGCACACCAGCTCCCTTCTCATCTTGTGGAGACCACGTGTCTTTTGTTCGGGTTTTCCTGGGACTTGTTTGAAATGTGCAGGTTCAGCCTGGGTTCACCGGAGACTGAATTAGCAGTTTAAACCAAACCGCCTGAAGCTGCTGCCTGGCGAGCGGCGTTCTTGAATTATTGAGCGAATGAATGTCAGCCCGTTCACGGAGTAAATGATGCAGAGAAAACATTATTTTCTGGCAGAAGATGAGGCGTCTTCTGCCGACAAAAGCCTCGAGTGGGGATTTTGTCTGGTTGTGAAAGCGGAGCGGTTCGGAGGACGGCCGGTCGGATGGTTAGCCGGAGTTGCTCCCCTTCGGCGGTATGATGAAGGGTTGCTCAGCGTTCGCATTCCTCCCGTCGTTTATGAGACACTGGAGGAGCAGTGTGGCTCATCGAGCGGGCGAGTCATCCTGGCCGCAGGGTTCCCGGCGACAGCGAGAAACAGGCACAATGAAATGAAATTCCCAAAGGAAATCGAAGGAAAAAAGAGCAACAAAGAGAAGGGTCGTGTTTTCGAAGTGGAGTGGAGTGAAAGGTGTGCGGGACGCAAAGCGGACGACGGGGAAAGAAGACTTTCGGTTGTTCCCAGACAAGCGAGCGGCCGCACGGCCTCGGCCTGCGAGTGCCAACGAGCAGCGTCTCCTCTCGACATGGTGCTGAGGGTCGTGACCTGACGCACGCCGGGCCAAAAGCCTCACATCCTGTTTGCTCGACCCGTACCTGTTAGTCCAGACAGGAACCGATAGAAACTGTTTAAATGACACCTTGTAGTTGCATTTTATTTAGGCTCAATACTTTGAGCTTCTGGTTCTTTAGTCTTCCGTGAATTGCCCCTCCGCTGGCGGACATGTTGCTGCCCCCGAGGCGGCGCATGAGTCCACCTCTACAACAACACACCACAGGCCCGAGTGCATTCACATGAGTCACACACACACACACACACACACACACACACACCTATTAGGAGGAATACATTACTTGTGTGTGTTCTGGAAATCCCCCCCGGCCGGTCAGGGCTACTGTGTGCGTTGTGGGGGGTTTCTGTTTGTGTGCTCACCTGCTACCTGTGATTAATTCCTGCCATTACGGGCGGCGCGGCGGGTGCTAATTGGCTTCGACCGATCCGATGGGTCTTCTGGGTCTCTTGGCGCCTTGATGAACCGTGAGGAAGCGCCCCGACTCCTGTCAACGGGTCACATGGTCCCTTCCCGTAGGATAGAGCGCCAATGCTTCAGCTGCCATTGGTCCACGTGTTTCCTCCCACCGACACGTGGATATTGATCTCCCGTGATGGATCGGGAAGGGGAGCCTGATGGACGACAGTGCACGTAATGAGACGGTCTTTAGACCTGTCCATCGGCAAAACAAATGGACTCGTGGGTGGCAGAGGCGGGAATGTCCATACGAGTAATGATCGGCCCAATAATGTGTTCTATTGATGCTTTTTCTATAAGAGGACTGCGGTTAAACACCCGGCTGACTGATGAAAGCTAAAGGGATTCACAACCAGTGTCCCTATAGGACAATAAACTGGTTTACTGTCTCTCCAAATGGCCCTTTAAACATCTGATTATCCAGTTATAAGGTGACTTGCACAATGTGTCCCCCCTGTTTCCAGAACTGGCATTTGGAAAAATACTAGAACAGATTACTATACCAGTCATAAGTAATGCTGACCCCGAGAGCCTTTTGTTCTTCTAAAAGGGACACGTGAAATACTTTGGTTAAAAGCAGATCAAACGTCCCACATTTGTGTTGTCAAAGACACTAAGACTCTCAGAGCGGCCACAATGTTTTTCTCCAATTGCGATACGAACACGAGAGGGGGCATCTCAGTACAACAAGTATTATGCAACCAAAAATGTTACAATTTTGCTTTCCTTCGTCAACTGAAAACACACTGTGAAAATGTGAAATTCTAGATAAAAACACAGGAAGGACGAGGCTGTAGTCTCTTCCTCGGCTCGTTGACTCTACACGGACCATCGTTTATTAAATGAACATCGAAGAAGACTTGAAACTAGAGATTGAGACCAAAAACTCATGTTTACCACGTTGTCAAATAGAGAAGTCATTTTCTTATAGACTCACACACGAATGATCAGACTTCTCAGGAGTCGCCCCCTGGTGGCCATTAGAGACAAAGTAAGTTTACAACAGGAGCATCTCAAGGTAGCTATAGTTCACCACGTGGAATCCCCGCAGGGGAGATGGTTGAAGGTTGGCTTGCATCTCTGCATGCCTTTGCGCTTGTGCACTGAAGGTGTGATCAAGTGTTTGTGCGTTTGTGTGTGTGTGGTTCTGCTAAAGCTATGCACCTCTTTCTTGATTTTGGACAGCGCGCTCAGCACGACTGCTCAGCACAGCTCCCTTGAGTCAAATGAGTGTTGTCACTCCTTCTACAGTGTGTGTGTGTGTGTGTGTGTGTGTGTGTGTTTCACAAGCCTACTTTCTGTGCAGCCCATTGAGCCAACACCAATATTTCTTTAGTGAGCAGCGTGACAACGGGGTTGCTTGTGTTTGTTGACCGGTTACAGCTCCGTCATCACATGACCTTTAGATCATCGTGCTTTTATTCAGCAAATCCCTGCAGAGCAACCCTCCCCCCCCCCTCCCTCCTCCCCTCCCTCCCTCCCTCCCACCTAGGTGATGGATGATTCTGTTTGTGCACAATGAGGCTCATCTGGCCAACGTGTTCTATATTACGGCGAAGAGGAAAGCAACAACGGAGGGGGGGGGGGGCGGTATCGTCTCGCTTTGGGCAGAATCCCCAGTGAGCGTGTTAAAGACGACACTTACAGGAGGCCCAGCGAGACCTCCGACATCCATTCACCCCCCTCACCCCCCCCCCCCCACCTCCTCGTCTCTGCTCTCGCACTCTCTCCTCCATATGTAATGACCCCCGGGACGGTGGCGCGCCCCCCCCCCCCCCCCCCCCCCTCCGTGCTGCCGTCAGGAGCCGCTGATGGGAATGACCTCACGCACTGGAGGGAGACTGCGAGCGGAGGGAAGATGCTGCATCTATCATTCATTTGTGTGCGCCATAACATGCAGCCTCCTCCGGCTGACGAGACCTCGACTCGTGGCTTCTTATCTCGTGGAAACGATCACAGAGCAAAGACAAGGCCCGTTACCGAAGACCATCGCTCAAGTGAGCAGCAGCGCTGGTGTCAGCGCTGATGGTGGGATTGATCTTCTCCAGCTGTGCTGCTCCGTGATCTACACACATGCTGGAAAGGAGGAGGAGCCGCAGCAGCCTTTTTCATGACTGGAGTACTACAGCCGGCCTCCGCAGGGACCGCGCAGTTGTAGCTGGGTAGAAAGAGCGAGCGGCGGCGTGCAGTCGTGCAGCGTGTGTTCTAATTTCTTTCTGCTCACACCTCATATAACCCCCCCCCCCCTCCATCTTTTCTCTGCTTCTCTCAGCTACACTTTCCCCCTGATCCTCACAGTCCACACGCACGGATGTCAGGGGTCACGCGGCCTAAATGGAACCGCAGAGCGTGTTTATGTGTCACTACTTTGGGAGATAAATCCCCATCTTCATCCCGCGTTAGCGGAATCGAGAGACAATAACGCGGACGCCGGGGCGAGGAGAGAGTGAGCCAGGGGGATGAATGGATAAAGATAGAGGGATTAGGGCGGGCGGAGGGGTCCGAGCCGGGACGGGTTTCACCTTGGAGAGGGCCTTCGGGGGAGGAACCGTCTCTGGCAGCGGTGACTCAGTGAGGCTTACAGGTTTAGCGTCAGCGCCTCGCCCGGAGGACAGAGAGGGTCAGCGCCAGCGCCGGAGGGACAGTTTAACCCGGACATTTAACTCACGCGCGCAGAAACGCCGCGAAATACCACCGGCACAAGTCACTGGGTCGCGCGCACCTTTTCATCAATACCGACACCTCGGAACATGGAGGTGACGAGCGATGGGACGAATCATTCATTCATGAGGCGGTTTTCGTACCTTGTTGACTTGAGACAACGTGCAACGGATAAGTCGTTTGAAGTGTTGGTTATAAAAAGATAGAAAGATTTAATGTCACATCGTGTAACCGTGGATCCTTAATGAGATTTACACTCTCTGTCGCCCTTATTTAATGATGCAGTGGGACACATTACCCACATATCAACGGCAATAATAGTCTTTAAATCGTCTTTACACAGTGGGGCAAAAACTGTGGGAAATGTAAAGCCTGCGCATTCTTAATGTCAGACTCTCTTATGCAGTCATACAAACGAAATGCATAAAATATGAGGGACGCAATAAAGACAAATGGCCATCTTTGATCCTCGCTTGGTACAAAGCAGCGCCGCAGCGTTTGAAGCTCCTCTCGGGCTCTTTGTGCGCGAGCTGGTGGCTGCGAGATCTTTGTCTTATTCATTAAACCCGCTTTTATCACTCTGGCCTTTCAATGTCGCCGTCATAACGATGACGTTCTAGCTCAAGGTTCCTTGTGGCTCGTCTGCTGACCGCCTGGTGGAATCGTCGTGCATCTCTCGCTCTCTCTTCTTCCTCTGTTTGGAGATGGAAAGTCCTCCTCTTCTCCGCCGGCACCGACTCCCGCCATCGGTCGCATCCTCATACTTTTCTGAGGTCTCCAACAAAAACATTTGTGTCTCATCTCTTGTGTGTGTGTGTGTGTGTGTGTGTGTGTGTTTGTGCTGACCGTTGCTCGGGGGCAGCATCAGCTTGTGCACAGTGTGATTGACTCAAGTCGTGAGTGGACACAGTCGCACCTTGCTGGAGCACACACACC